AAAATGACTCCTCTTTGAGAAAATTAATTTCATAGATAGCAAGTAAAACGCTTGGACATTCATGGAGGCTCCATGTAGCATGAATAGGTAAGCTGTGACGCAGTCGTGTGCTACGTGGAGCCATTTTTCAGGATTGGTGCAATGGTAACTTTTAATCAGAAAGGCGTGATCTACATTATATTCAGTCCATTCTGATAAAAACACAATTTCCGTATACATTGGGCAGGGTCCTTTAAGGGAAGTTGTGATACATAAAATAAAGGATACATTTGTGAAACGTCTAATTTATTATTAGAAAATCGTACCGTTCTCGATCTGGAACTCACGAGGGGACAGAGCACATCAGAGAAACCCTCGATCTACACTCGTCAAAAATCAAAACATACTGTATCATTTTAATAATAATTGTAAGTCAATAATAGTTTAAATTAGGTACCGTCTCTGTCTTTGTACTAAATTAATTCCACACATTCCACACTACATTCAATCAACATCACCTATATTCAATACTGAAGAGTTTTTGGTTAGTTAGCCAGTCTGCCAGCAGGTACTGAGGTCCCGTACGGGAGGCTACTCAGCTATAGTTGTTATTTTGAGCCAATATCTCTAGACTGATCTTTCAATTTGTTTGCTAGGATATTCGCTCGTCAGGGAAGGAGAGTATTAGTAGATTCAACAAGGCCCTAATGTACGTTCCGAATACCTAAAATTTAAATCCCAGCACAAAAGACAGCACAATATTTCTTAAGGTTTTAATTTACTTTTTATCTGCGTTGTTCACAGCATGAAACGATTTTTGTTAAATACATGAACAATGCACATGGTATAAAAAATGTTATGAACAAACAAAAAAAACATATAAATGAATAGTATATTATGAATGAAGTTTTCCGTGGAGGTTTGTATACTATTTTATTTTCAACTCTCAATTTCTGAGAAAAAAGGTTTTATAGTACGAAATAATAGTGTGAATTGGCCTTAGAAAAAATCATCTTTCACTTTTTTTTTGTCAATGTCATCAATTTTAACAAAAAAACAAGCAGACAAATCCAGTCCCGATAAAATGTCAAAGTACAGAAACGTGACAGTATCAAGATTTTAAAAAGTCTGTAATGTCAATATTACATAGACAGTTGAAAATAAAGAATATTACTTGTATAAATTGAACTCTCAAAATAGCTATTTTCCTAACGAGCAAGAGTTAGGAACTATATTTTTTCTACGAGCATAATAAAGCTGATGTTACAAGAAGTTTAATTTAAATAAAATGCGATTGTGCAGAAGGTAGAATTAAAAATGTATTGAAAGGTATTTATGAAAAAAAGATAAAGGTATCAAAGGTAAAGATATAGGTGTATCAACAATACAAACAATTTCATGTCACAATGGTTATTTCAATCTCTTCCCGCACTGGTGCGGGAAAAAAGTCTTCCCGCACAGCGAATCGTGCGGGAAGAGCCATTTCCCGCACGCTCGTAGAAAAACAAAATAACATTTATTTAACTGACCTGTGAATGCACCTTATGACACACAAACTAATCACAAATTGGATTGAACAGTCAGTTTAATACAAAATAAAATTGAATAATGAACAATGGCGGACAAGCTTATTCCCTGGTCTCTCATTTTCTGTCTCCCCTTCGGTACTTTTCTTGTGGTGCGTCCCGTTACCATAAATTTCACAGCGCATACATGGTTGCAACTTTACATTTCTTTAGTAAACGTTTTAAGAATTTAAGATTTGAAGAAATAATATTTCTCAAATAGGTGGTTTTCCTCAAGCCTTAATCTAGGAATCCACTAGATATAAGGGGAAGCACATTGGATCTAATCAGGTCGCAGTGCGCAGAGGTCCTTAACCTAAACACCCCAACCATCATGATCTACAATCTAACCACATAGTAGTTTGAGGGTGTTACAGTGAATTTCACTATTTTCAATAATTCCATCTACAAGTTTGGATTTTTTCGTAATTTCTGAGTGACTTAAGTGCTGACCCTTGGCCAAAGGGTATTTAAAGATGGAGAACTGGGAATGATTCTCAGAATTGTCTCTTACCCTATAGCAAACAATTTCCAATTTAAATGTATAAGATGTTTCATTCAAGTCTTTCCCTTATAACCTCTTAAGACAAACATTTCAGTTGCCTTTTGGCTGAAAAGTAGAAATTTGCAATTGTAAACAGCCAATACATGCAGTGGGTCAATTTATAGTTACGATACACTTTGGCTTTCTTCAAAGTCCACACCAGGTTTTTTTGAAAAGATCTAATATTTTGTTGGCTTGTTGTTATTAAAACTGAATAAAAGTAGCTTCATTGTTTATTTTTGTTACTTTAAAAAATATCTTTCAAATCACTTGTTTCCAAATGCTTGTTAAGGTTTCAGCTTGTTCCCAGATCTCAACAAATATATTTCTCAATTTAATTCAGCATTTCTGATACGCCATGTACTCCCATTTACATGTTAGAGTAACTTTTTTAAAATTTAGAGCTGCCATCCTAGCACGAAGTACGAACGAGTTCACTAGAGAATAAAATAGAAAAAAAGGCGCCTGACAGGGACGTACGTTTGTTAAATTTTAATAGAAACTCCGTTTAACACATTCATCTGAACGCTGCCCCACGAATAAAGAATTGAAATGAATGGCATGAAAAATAAATAGCTCTGTCCGTTGTAGCGTTTTTCCTTTTCTTTTTATTTTTTGTAGCCCAAGCACTGAGCTTTCGCTGACGAGTGTTTGCTTAGCTTTGCGCAAACATTGTGCTCTCTCTGTTTGTTTTTCCAGTTCAGTGCAAGTCCGATTTTGCCAGTGCAGTATTTGCCGTGTTTTTCCTTGTAATTGACAATTAAAACGGGCATCACATCCGTTTCAGAACGCAAACACTTCTATAGTCTCTAGAGTAGCTACAATGCTACGTATTATATCTGTACAATAAAGTTTTATTTGAGCAGGAGATTTAAAACTATTTGAGTCTGGAACTGTTTGCCAAGTACCTACCTTGAGTTTAATCTAGGGGGGCCTTAGCCCAAGTGGAATTAAATAAACGGTGTAGAAATTTGAATATATTTTTTTTTCTCTATTTTGTTTATTGACTTTGGGCTTTCATGTCAAGGTAAATTTAAGGCCCGTAGTAGTAGTACTACTAGAAAGACCATCTAAATAGATACAAAAAACAGTTATGGTTATACCACAAATCTATGAATGAGAAGTAGGATCACAGAAACTTTTATTGAAAACACTATACTACAATCCATAAGTGACGAGCAACGTACAATAATTCTGAATGTATGGTCAGTTCGGGAAAAAATCATCTTACGAGTGAGATGTTGAAAGTCGAAGGAGAGACATTCAAAAGCAGAAGTCCTCCTAACTGAGCTCCAGAAACATGGAAATAAGCAGTAATCTTTAACTTTTCAGGAAAGATCAAATCAACTACCTGAGCCAGAAATTCCATATTCCACGTTGACAGGGTTCTAAAGTCCATGGAGGTAGTTCAAGAGTATATTATTCATCTAGGGCGTACGAACCAGCTTGGAGTAGATAGTCAAACATCAAGGATCTTCAGACACATTAGCCTCACTTTCATGCTATTTGAAAACTTTGGTTACAACCGACCATCCTGTGGTAATCCATGAAAACTAAACACACTCATAAGGTATCACCAGCCGCCTCCGAGCCTACCAAAGCATAATGGAGTGAGTGAGAGTGATATTGGAAGCGAGTCTCAGGTAGAATCCTGAACAAGAATATCAGAAGGAGAATAGGATTCTGTAACGCAACTCTGGAGTTTGAAATGGTGATGGCCAGAAACAACCCAAATGGGCTAAAGTTTTAATGCAGTAGAGTCCAAGGAAGAGGAAGAGATGGAATAATAGTGAAAAACAAGAAAAGAAAATAGGGTTTCATGACAATGCAGGAAAAAAAAGTGTAACAGGTGAACAATGCAAAAGCGATTTCAATTCAGACATTGAGACTTTCGCATTTTCTGGATTTTCAAATTTAGATTTTATTACCATTCATTCAGTAAGTATGAAAATGCACAAAGTATCTGCTTGTATTTATTCAAGCTACCCTTGCACCATTCTGAAAATATGTCACCCCAATCCATATGAGGGTTAAAATGTTCACCATTCTTACATTTCCAAAAAAAAGATTATCTTCAAACTCCGAACACACTTTATGTCTTCAAAAGAAAATTTACGTTACAGGTTTGACATGGCTCCAGGGAATTTACCCTGCATAAGCCTTCATATCCGGGGGCGAGCTCCATCGTCAGAAATTCCCTCGGGAGTTTTTTTCCCTGCTCTTTCATTTTCCGTGAATACATAAGCGAAATCAATCTTTGCCTTCTCGCAAAAGTTATATCGAAAGCCTCAGCTTTGGCAAGTCGGCGAAATCTTTATTAAATTTCGGCGGAAATTTTTAATGGAAAGCCCCTTCGCGTTTTGCTAAAAAGCCCAATTGGCTTTTGAAAATAAATTACTGAAATGCACTTGTATTATCGCCTTGAAAGAACACATTACAATTATTTATTAGAGCAACATAATTTATTTGCAATACTTTGACATTTAAATTTATGGATTATTACCACAAAAGATAATAATAATTATGATTCCATTCAATGCAACACCTGCAATAGCTCCAATATAATATGCAATCCGAAACAATTTAATGCATATAATTATTGTAAAATAATACAATTTATTGAAATACATAGATTTAAATTTCTGGTTGTATAACTTCATTATTATTGTGTTTTGGCTGCGAATAATGAGGTCAAAACCTGCATATATGAGTATTGCAATAATTAGTTTTATCTTAGATTATTAAACAATCTGGTTTATTTAATTTGTGTTAATAAACATCGACTCCGTGGCGCAACGGTAGCGCGTCTGACTCCAGATCAGAAGGTTGCGTGTTCAAATCACGTCGGGGTCAAAACATTTTTTAATTTTTTTATTCTGTTTATTAAAGATGCATTTCAATTATTGTTTCAGACTGAAATAGCCAAGAGACTGAACGCCATCATTGCACAAATTCTTCCTTTCCTATCGCAAGAACATCAGCAACAAGTTGCCACAGCAGTGGAGAGAGCGAAACAAGTAACCATGACAGAATTAAATGCTATTATTGGGGTAAGTTAACACCATTATTATGAATTTAATTGTCTATACCTACATTTTCCTGACTGTAAACATCAGTAATTTTCTACAAACTTCTCAGTTGAAGATAATATGATTGAATTCTGGTTTTTTTGAAAATCATTGCACTATAATTATAATACCAGGAGATATTTAGATTTTGGTTCTTCCATGCACCAACTCACATTTTGTAGTTGCATGCTTTCCAGGTGACTTCATTTAGTTTGTCCACGAAATCATCTCAAATCAATAATAATGTTGTGTGATCTCTGACGCCACTATAATACTCTTCTTTCACAGTCAAGTTCAGATTGAGATTATTGGTCATTCTAGGGGCGAACTTGGATGTGTAAGACTGCGATCCTTTGCTCGACACATGCGAGTTGATCAAAACCTTTTCTCGTATAGTGAATGGTTCATTGCGTCGATGTATTGCTAGTATTGCTGGGTCTTCAGATCTCTATTTCTTTTCTCTTCAGGATTGGATGCTAGGTGATACAACGGTATAAGATTTTGGGTAAAACCGAAGCAGTGAGCAACTTGTTGCATGGCACCTATGACAAACTGCGTGTCATTGTCACTGATGAACTTTCTGGGAGCTCTATATCTGAGAATAACTTCATCGATAAGGCATTTCGCACAAGCTTCTGCTGTAGCAATTTCCAGTGCGAATAACTCTATCCATTTGGTGGCAGTATATCTTCTATAGCGAAAACCCACCTTTCACCTGTTTCTGCTTCAGGCAGTGGTCCAAATAAATCCATAGCTAAGGTTTCAAATCGCTGAGTCAGAACAGGAGTCTGAGTCAAACCAGAAGGCTTAAGATTCGTTGGTTTGTATCTTTGACATTCTATTCATTTTCGGATGTGTTCAGTGATGTCTTTTCTCATCATCGGCCAGTAAAACCTTTGTGAGATTTGCTTAAAAGTTTTGTCGACGCTGTAGTGTCCTGCGAGTGGAGAATCATGGAACTCATGGAGTATAGACCCTACTCGACCTTGAGGAACAACTAATTGAGCTTCGTCAGAATCGGAGTCACTGACGTAACGGTGTAAAATCCCCTGAACCATAAGGTAGCCTCGATTGATCCATCTGGCAAAGTCGACAATATCATAATCAGCATTCTCGAAACAGTCGATAATACTCCTAGTGTATGGATCATCTAACTGCTGGGTTCTGGTCTCTGCAGCCGATTTATTAGGTAGCAAAATAGTAACTATATCGACAGCTATTAGTGACTGGTCATTGCTATCCGAGTCATTGGCAAAGTTTGGAATGAATCCACGGAACCATGAACAAGTCTGAAGAAAACTGATAACTTGTTTCACGTTCTTGGGTGCGGCAAGATGGGTGATAGCGACAACCTTTTCCGGATCGGCTTCGATACATCTCGTCCAATAAGAGGACCAACCTATTTAACTTCTGAAGTACTGAAAGTGCATTTCTTCTTGTTCACCTTCAACTTGTAAATGCGTAGACGGTTGAAAACATCACTCAAGTCTTTGATGTGTTGTTAAGAAGTCGTGGATAAAATTATTAAGTCATCAAGGTATCCTAACATCTGGATATGCGGCAAACCTGAAGAAAAACGGTTTATTAGCTTTTGAAAAGTTGCGGGAGCTGTGGATAGACCAAAAGGCATCGTCTTATATCGATAAAGTCCAAATGGCGTGACAAAGGCGGTTTTATCACGATCTTTTTCTCTGACAGGTACTTGATGATAACCACTGTTCAGGTCTAAGGTGGTTATGTAGTTAGCTTTTCCAGTTGAATGGATAAGGTCATCTTTACGAGGCAACGGGTAACAAACATTCTTGGTGACAGCATTCAGTCGGTGATAATCGACACAAAGACGTGAAGTTCTGTCTTTCTTCGGTACAAAGACGACTGGAAATGCGTATGGCGATTCGCTCTCTTCAATGATATCGCTGGCAAGAAGTTTGTCAAGCTCCTGACGCACAACTTCTTTCTTCGCAGGAGATAAGCGATATGGTGGTGCAGCTATGGGAATATCATCAGTGAGGATGATGATATGCTCAGCATATGGGGTAACTCCTGTATTTTCATCGAACAAATCCTTGTTATGTTCCAACAGCGATTTCAATGTCCCTTCTTCAATATTGGAAAGAGTCGGCAACGACAAATCATTCCTGTCAACAACTGACAAAACTGCGTTGGAATGCATCCTGTAATGGCAAGGAATTGCTTGGATCATCATTGAAATAGTATATCTTCTTAGGTATATTGAGCACTTTATAGAATTGTCATATGGAATCAACACCAAGTAAAGTCTTACTATCTTTGTAGTCTGGAACAGCAATCATTTGCAGTTTTCGTTGTTTATTTATAACTTCGATGGAACACTGGTACATCTTCGCTCCAACTTCTCGGGGTATACCATCAGCAAATACCAGTTTTATTGGAGCAGTTTAGAATGGAGGCCGAATAGCATCTAAGTGGCTTAACAACTTTGTACCTGCAACACTGTATCTTGCTCCGGAATCCCCAAAAGCAAAACCTTATTTACTTTGAATGATCACAAGTATCATGGGTCTCAAAGGCGAACCATCAAACGTTGATAACAAATTGGCAGTTTCACCAAAATCAGCAGCGAGCATTTCGTCAGATGAAATGGTTGTTGGTGCAGATTTACATTGAGGACAATTGGAACGAATATATTCTGGACTACCGCATCCATAACATGTTACATTTGTGGAGGACGGGTTACTGGATCGGAACATTGGAAAACAATTTGTAGTGCATAGTGTTGGAGTTCCTTTCGATACCCGCTACATATTTGGCGCCCAACGTGGGGCCTAAGGTTTTGTAGTGAACCATCACCCCAATCTGGACTAATTTTGTGACTGTAGGTCAATGAACTATAAAACGCGAGACATCGGTGTGAATGTGCATTAATTGACTGAATTGTGTAAGTTTTGCCACATTCAGATGTTGCTCCCACAATTTCTGGAATATTCCACACAAACCGACATTTGAAATGAGAGACTTGAAAGAAACTGAAGTCGCCTGAAATCTCGTTACAGTTTTTTTGCAACATCCTCTTAGCAAAACGTTTGTCTAAGAAATCATCTCAGATCAATAATAATTTATTTTCATTCTCATAGACACAAATCATGCTTTGATCTTTGAAACATAACTTATTGAATCTCTCATTCCAGCGCTTTGTATCTTCTTTCAATGCATACAAAGACCTTCGAGGAATCGAATATATCTTTGTTTATACTCCTTTAGGTACATCATTTTTGAGGTCATCATCATCGTCTACTAATTTTTCATGTCGTTCATGCAACGAGTTGGGAATCTTCCTCTATTTCTTAATTTGTATGATCTCTGACGCCACTCTTCATACTCTTCTTTCAGAGACATTTTCAGATCGAAAGTTTTGGTCATAGTCTGGTAGTACTACCTTAGTAGAACTATATGTCATCGGCAAAACGAAGGTAATTTAACTTCTCTTCATTGATGTTCACTCCCATGTCCTTCCAGCAGCAACAGGAATCACCATTGAAGATTTCTCTCGGAAAAAATCAGCAAATACATCAACCTAGGACAGATACTGCAATGTGATAAAACAGCGTTAATTGTACAGAAAGAATAAGGGCAGGTTTTGACCAACAGCTATGAAGGATCCTCAAGAACCAAAACACTTTACCTGAGAAGCGGAATTTTATAAAGGACAATGTCGACAGGAAATGCTGACCATAACTCTCAAGAAGAATAAGAAAAATATTTTGTGTTATATACTGACATTACTTGATTTGATTCCACTATGCATCGTAACCTGGACATCAATCCCTCTCCAAAAATGTTCAGCTCATTGATATTGAAAATTCCTTTTTCCTATCCAGATTCAATAATTGTTGCTGCTACTGATAACGATTTTATCACGACATTCAATTTTGTGATATTTTCATGTTTGGCATCTACCAAGATGTCTGTTGCTCCTGAATCAATAGTGAATCATTGTTGGACTGTCAGCTATGAAACCTTCAGACGTCATAGCTATAATTGAAAATTCTTGGAACTCTGGATTGTTTTCCTAATTTCTGGCAGCTTATTCCAGAGTCCCATCAGGTCTCCGAATCCCAAGACCATATTATCGCAATTTTTTCGTTGATATTGACCACTCTCAATTTTTTTGATGACAATGCAACCTTGCATAAAATGAATTAAGATCTTGAATAATCGATGTTTCACTAGTATGAGCAACATTATTATTATTATCTCAAATGCTGTACCTAATAGCTGTGTCATACTGATGATGTTGAAATGAATGAATATGATTTAATTTTTAATTATCTTGCTGCGTTACGAAGGTTGTGATTCAACGTGCTTACAAAATGTATTCAAAGTTTTTTTTGGATGTCATTTATATGTGAGCAGTCTATGTGAGTTATACCGCGAAATCTTCCCAAATTTTGTTTATGAAAATTGTTTCAAATTTATGACGGAGTTAAAAGAAACTGAAATCGTTTGATGCATAAAATCTCGTTACAGCAACATCCTCTCAGCAAAACGTTCTAAATCAAAAATTGCTTTCCTGACTGTAATAATTAAAAATAATTATCATCACCCACTCATTGTTTGAAATCTCAACACGCTAATCAACTTAAAATATACACACTCACACTCACAAGTGTTATCTGCATCATCAGGAAAGAAGAAGGATTCTATTGTCTGGTTAGTACAAAGATAAAAGTAGCTCGCTTCCTACGTATTAATACAGCTAGCAGTCCGAATGCCTATATAGGAAATCTTAAAAATACACATAAACCATGAAAATAAACTAGCAACTGTAAACAGCGCGCCAGCACCACGATAAATATATAAACGTTTTCTATTTACATTTCATTTTGTTTGAAAAGTTTGCTCAAAGCAAATATTCAGGACCGTATTACGTGTGGATTTTTCACACAAATAATAATTTTTCTGCTTTATTTATTCAGCTAGTATTTAACTTTTATTATTGTTTG